GTATGGATATATATATATTTCTACAGGACTGATACTAACAATTATTTTCAATTTAAAGGAATCTGCTAGAAGCTTCTAGGCAGCTGTCGACCTACTGGTCTGCAAGTTTTCTCTTTTCAAATTAAACTACGAAAGAAAAGATTTAATAAAATTCCTAGAAACAAAGGTGATTTCTTCAAACGACTTGAAACCAAAACAATTTTTAGTTTTCTGTCACATAATTTAAGCCACAAGTCCTGAGAGTCTGAAACTAGTTCATGTTTAGAAAAAATGACTTCAAAGATAAATCACAAATCAGAGAAAGATGCAGAAATGTTGAGAGAAGCAGCTGTAAGAAATGAAGGAGATGAACTCACTAATAACTTCATTGCTAATTAATCTGTTCATTATTTATCCATTAACTGATGAATCCTTTATTCAATAAATGCCTCAAAATATTGTTTTAATGCTGTTGACAGCTGGAGAAAAGCAGATCTTCACATTTTAAAGCTGAAGCCAGTAAATATATGACGATTAAACTGTTACAGAAACATTTGTTTTTCTGTTGATCAACAAATGAATTGATCGATTCATCATTTCAGCATTGCATGAATCAAAATTTAAAATTTCAGAAGTAAATTCCAATATCTAAGACGGACTAAAGCTGATTTTTTAACTCATAACTTCAGCAGTATCTTTGATCCCAGGTTACATTTTTCCTCATTCCTACACTAGCATCTATAATTCATGACGTGCCCTTTTTCAACAACTAACGCAGCTCTATTTATAGATTCAACTGGTATTGTACATGCGTTCATAGTGTATGTTACTGAGCTTCAGTCTTTCCAGAGACCAGGACGAAATCCTCGACTAAGACGATGTGAAACCTCGAGGTCTTGTTAGTAACTGCTGCCGGTTCTGACATAAACACCAATCAGCCTCACAGGCCAGCGCAACACGAATGAGGCTGTGCTCATGTAGCATGTTTGATCTCCATCATCCTGCCTCCACAATGAGTGGTTTAAAACTGAGAGTACACAGCGACAAATTGAGTTATGGCTCCATGACAACAAACTGCCCCCCCGCCTCCCGTCACTGCTGGAGCCAGAAGCTGACATCGTGATTGTCCTTGTCCGATTAGGTCGATCAATGAGACTGAGCAGAGGAGAGAGAAAGAAGAGGAGGGGAGGAGGAGGGGAGGAGGAGTAGAAGGAGATCTGTGTGTCTCCTCCCATAATTAAGTTGGCGTGCTGGGCTGAAGGTCCATGTTTACGGGCCAGCGAGGGAGTTTCCTTCACTCGGTGGACAGCTCTGCGCTGGGAGAAAGCAGCAGTCTCACTCTCTTCTCTCTCTGGTTATTTCTGCACCTCATCCCTCGCTGCGACTAGCGACCTGCACACACAGGCTGATTCAGGACAAGCCGGGAGAGGCAGGGAAGCAGCAACAACAGCAGCACCTGCTTAACCCTCCACCACCACCGCCGTCCCTCCCTCCGTCCCCCCAGCCCGTCCGGCCCAGGACATCCTCTCTGCTGCCGCCGCTGCCACCGCCGCTGCCATCATGTGCGACTGTTTCCACCTGGCGTTCCCCAACTGGCAGGCCGCCTCCTCAGGGACGGGTGGGCATCTTTCTCTCTGCTCTCTTTTCCCTCTCTTTATGACTTTGTCTGTGCCCCCCCCGAGACATTCACCGATTGATGCAGCAGTGTTCAGTAGGGTAGCGGGAGAGATTACATCTGTGTGTGTGCGTTTTTGTTACGAAGCGAGACAGTGAGCGAGCGTGAGGCGGCTGGTGCTGATGCTGAGTTGTGTTGCTGACCTGCAGTGAGCGCTGGGTGTGTCTGCAGAGAGTGTTTGAAGATGTCATCATCGACGATGTCAGGCGGCTCTGCACTCCTCCCGTCTTCCCTCCCCGCTGTGTGTTTGAAGCAGAGGCTGAAAAGGAAGACAGACTCGGTTACTGTGGCATTTCAGCGAAGCAGAAATAGGGAAAGAGAATAACTTCCTCGGGGGGAAAACATGAAAAAGGCTTCTAAAATGTGGGACGATAACTCTTGCACCTTCTAAGCTTTAAAGCTGCAGTCTTTATGTGAAAGATGGAAGAGCTACTACCTGTAACCTTGAATCACTTTTAACATAGTAGCCTTAAAAAATATGAACATTTCTGAAAGTTTACGATGCTGAAAGCTCTAAAACGTACGCAATGCATGTTTCACCGCTGACACTGCTCACAGTCTCTCTTGATGCGTCCCGTTGTGTATGTTTCACGATTATAAACGCAGAGTGAGTTGTGGAAAATGTAATCTACCTTTATGGTTACATCAGATGGATGTTTGATGACCTGCCTCCCTGATGTAACACATCTACAGAGTGGGCGTAGAACATAGCTGCGTAGTTTGGGTGAAAGTGATTACATTCAAGCTATTTTCGTGATGATGCTTGTGATCTTGAAATTACGCTGAGAAGAAATAGATATGTTTCGATTAATTATGATGAACGTTTGAATTATAAATCTGTGAAAAAGATATGATTTTATTGCACTGGTTTTGTAACATTTTGCTGGAAATAGTTCCTGCAGATGTAATTTACACATTTGGGTGTGATTTATTCAGTTGTGTGCTTTCAGTGAACGTTTTCTGATCATATAGACGTTGTCGGTGAAAACCACGGAGGTTTCAAAGAGCTTCTACAGAGTCAAACAGTAGAATGAGCCAAAGGAACCGCTGCATCACCAACATGACATGTAGACGATATATGGTCAGGAAAGTCAGGAGAGAATCACAGTCCATCTTCCTGGATTTCATAATGTGTCTCATTTAACTGCTTAGTTCAAGTATATTGTGTTATTAGTTATTATACTATATTATCATAGTATTATAAGACATATTATTCTTGATGTTGTCCCACAATTCTAATTTGGCCTCGGCTGCTAATAATTAATTCTGCCTGAATATGTGGAGAGGTTAGTGTTGCTGTGAGAGGCTTCAGGCGGCGCTCAAGGTCAGATAGAGAGAGAGAGAGAGAGAGAGAGAGACAGAGACAGAGAGAGAGAGAGAGAGTATTGTTTACTGCTAGGAAGTGAGCCAGACAGAGAGGCAGTGGAGCCTAAATCAGACGATCAGATCCATTACGGATCATCAGTTTGACAAATCCTGCTCTTGAATCAATATCACACCACTTGAATAGTTTAAATGAGCAGCTGCTGTCACTCAGTGCAGAACCGCTTCAGTCAAAAGAGTCAATCTGAGAATTTGTTTTAAACTGCTCGGAGCATCAGGTGGACATCGCTTTATACGTTTCTTTGATTTGACAGAGGTTTGACCTGTTGGGGTTCTATTTACTTGTGTTTAATCAATTTGCATCTTGGTTTTCATTGTTGTCAGGGAGGACAAGAGACATCTTTTAGACCATTAGAAGACATTCAAACCCAGACTAAACGCAGACTAGAGGAACTTTCAGTTACTTGGTATCAATTCTCAAAAACACAACTAAATTAAATTTAAAAAATGCAAGTTATCAAGACTCTATTTACATAACTGTGGTTGTTTTCAGTGAACAACTCATGGTCGGTTCAATGACTTGCATTCAACAAAAGACCATAATTGGCTTAATACATATCAGACCTTTCAAATAACTAACTCAACTAAATGATCTTGATTAAATCTGAGTCCCTTTGTGCTCCAGGCCTGCGAGGAAAAACAAACACAGTTCAGGTGTAGCTGCTGACCTGGAATAAGTCTCTGCTACTTCTGCTGTAATTGGATGTCGTGGTAATGCAGGCATATTCAGATAAGAATGTCAGAGCTGTGATGAAACTCGCTGTAAGTTTGCAGCAGATTCATAGATTGAAAGCGTGCGCTGTTGCAGTCTCATGTTCATGTAATCCATGCAGAAGATCTAATTCTGTCTTCGTTTCCCTTCCTTCACTCAAATCTTATTATCATTTGGATGCAAACACACACACAGTCTTCCAGTGAAAGCAGCTCGTGTCTGCCTGCAAAAACAAGCAGAATCTAAATCCAGGAGCACAAATAACGAGCTGTATAAGTTATGAGTTTAGTGAAGAGGGGAGCTCCGGGGAGCCTTCCAGCTGTTTTTCAACAGGAAACACAAACTAGAGCAGAAGGTGGTTACGTAAGAGATGAGCTGAGGACAAGCACCTCACACAACACACTCAGGTTTTTATAGTCATAGAGTGAATCTACAAAGTGGATTGCAGATTTTGTGCTTGTGAGATCTTGTGATTTGATGCCAGCACAAGCGGTGATATGAGAGGTTCGCTGTCTCAGCAGAGTGTCCGGACGAATGAGTTTAAGTGTTCAAATCAGAGTTGTTGGCGGTCGTGCTATTTTAAAGGCCTCGTTCTTCATCACATCGGCACTGAGGGGCGAGCCACTCCCAAATCCAGAGCTGCAGTTGCACCCAAATATGAATCATGCAGGATCTGCACCACAAAAGACTTCAGCGTCGACTGCTCGTGCTTATTAATATCACCATCAAAGACGAATCACACACATCAGGCAGCGGCGTTATGATGTAATATTTACTAAATCTAATCTACGATTAGTCAAACAAGTAAATAAGTTTACTATGTGATTTTATTTTGACAGTTCTAGTGAGCAGTGAGAGTTGTTATCAGGCCCTCTGCAGCACCCACATGACAAATATTTGAGAAAGGAGTTTTCTACATGTGCGGTGCCAGTAGTTGTGTTCGGAACACTGGACATCCGCCTGAATGAAGTGGTGAATAACTTAAGAAACACATCATCCAGTCATGCTGAGCAGAGCCTGAATCCTCAACAAAGCTCCCCGCACACATTAACCCAACGATTCACTACAACAGCATCCGTGTGCTTGAGATGACACACTAACAAGACTGAAGCCCTCTTCACGCTGGACTACAGTACCCGTTACCTGTTCTTTGCAAATCTGCCATGTCTGTCATCTGTCCAGTAAAAATTCACCTGCAAATGATCCACCATATATCGCTAAACACGCGTGAGGACACGTGATCATAATAATACCTTGCGAATCGGCCTTTCGGTCTTCTGGTTTGGTTTTCGGAGGCTCATCTCGCAAACAATCTCTGGAGCACGAAGTCTTTGTGAATATTACATAAACATTAAAAGTTACTTATATAATACGATAATATTTATAATATTAGATACAATTCCTACATGGTACAATAGTTTTAATGTCAGTAAATTTGAGTAAAATACAGATTTTGCTTCTCATGGAACACAGACGTGGCGGCCATGACAGGAGCTCAGAGAGGTTAGCTCGATGCTAACATCAGCATGCTAACATGATACGATGATGTCAGTGTGTTTTATGAATGGTTTTTAATGGTTATGTTGATGTGAAAAGGCTCATTAAGTTTCACCAGATTCCATTAAATGTCTGATTCATTACCTTCAATCCTAGTTCATTAAAAGTATGAAGTGTCTTTTTATTCATTTAAATTCATCACAGGTAGTTTTTGCTGCAATGGCAAAAGCCTTTATACAATATGAGCTTTAAGGATTAAGGTAGTTTCATAGTTTTATGTTATATTATAAAGTAATACTGTTGGATTGTTTAAGATGTTCTTCCCCGTTAAGTGGGAGTGGTATTAATTAATGACAGATTCATGTAAATTCAAGGTTATTTTAAGTTGTGTGTGGTGCAAAGTCAACATTAGGACTTGATTCAGTTCATTTGGGAGGGACACAAGTTCAGGCAAGATAGGTTTGACTGCAACCTAAAAGTGTCCCGCCTCCTTTGTCCATCTGAGACTGAACTAATTACTTTAACCACTTTGGCATTCACACTCACGCCAGGAATGTTCGAAGGCAGTTTGGATGCCGTGTTGTGAACACCTCGGCTTTATTTCCAGGAGTTAAAGAAACAGCAGAAGCAGGTTGGTGAGTTCTTTGATTCCACACACTGGGCTCGGAAAACTAAATAGTTTCTGCTTTTTGTCAGTCGTACCTGGTGTGAAAGAGAAGGATGAAGAGGAGAAGGATGGTGCTTGGCAGCTGCAGAGACCTGATTGTTATATTTCACAACACGTCTAGACCGTGATGCGTTCAGAGATCACAGTGTGAATCTACGGTTCTGTCAGATCGATGTTCTCTGATGCCATTTCTGATCCTGGCGTCAGAGCGATGCATGTCTACGATGACAGTGCAGGTTGTGTTTCAGGTTTATTTTCAGTATCACAGCTATAATATCATTTGATAGCTCCTTGAACTTTCTCAGAGGCAGCAACACACCCTGAAACAGTAGGAGGCTCTTTTTTAATACCATCAGTCTGTTATCTTAAATGTCTTCTGATGTACTTACACAGGCAGCCAGAGCGCTTCACATGACAAACGCTAAAGCAAAGGGTGGTTAGTTAAGAAACCATGGGGCTGCAATACATGTTCAATACTGAGCCTATTGTAGGATTGTTGAATATGTGTTTAATATAATGTAATATAGATATAATACATATATAATAAACACATTTTCAAGGTTTCTAAATGAATATTAAACCCCAAAATCAAACGTTCTGCCAATTACTTGCCAGAGCAAAGTTTGTTTCCAAATTACTAAACATAAAGTTTCGTCTTTATTTGTGGTAACATAAAATATACTTAAAAAAAAGGCTGATTACATCACAAATATGCTATTTTCTAGTAAATCCAGCATACACTTAAATACCCAAGATTTGAATTACGTATTTTGAGTTTTAATTGAATGTTTTCATCTTGTTTTTTGTTAAAATTGGTCATTGATGAACATTACTGCTCCGTTACGGGAACGAATTGAATCCTTTTCATCTGGAATTGCAGCTTAAGGGAGTTGATACGATGTTGATGCAAACTTCATACGTTTTGACATTTTCCTTTAATTTCTTGATCTAAATTGTTGAGTTTAGCGCTCCACTATGAAGCTCCAGTAAGACTCACAAGGACAGCAGAGCAAACACGTGTATCTGTAATGGAGATGATGTAATTCTCTGTGTGGAGTCAGGGCTCCGGAGCTCTGGGAGTCCAACCGCATTTATTCAAACACTAATTCCTTCTGACAACGTAACATCCGCTGATTAATGGCCTCTGGATGATATGAATTCATTAGCCAATGAGGAGCTAAAACCACAGACAATGTGGAGGACAGAGCAACGCTGTTTCTCCACAGTCCATCCTTGATTTATGTAAACTTAATAATCTGAGAATTTTTTATGTTTTTTTTATCCAGAACATTTGAATGACTAACACACAGACATCATCCTCCTGATACAATGAACCTCACATTAAAACAGCCCGATTGTGTCGTTTGAATGGATTCAAATCAAAGAGAGGTTAAGTATCAGTGATAATAATCTGACGAACCATATAACCATATTCATCTGGAGTCAGACTTTCCCTTCTCAGCAGCCTTGAGGGGCTGAGCTGGGAGTCTTATCTGTGGATCGATACAGCGGATCACTTAACAGAGGAAAGGAGGCAGCGGGTTCCTGGGGGAATTATTTCCAGGAAGAACTGTAAATAGTCTCATCCTCGGCTCCAGCGTCTCTCTGAGCCTCAAAACAACTGCAGGAGTCAAGGTCTCGCTTTACTGCTTAAAACATTAGAAATACAAATGAAAGCCGGTGCTTTACTTCTGATTTTCTGCTTTTACATTTGAGCAGTTTCTGTGTTGCCTGAATTCATTCACTCTGCTTGAGATAACTTACTTTTCATAATATTATTTGCTACAGTAAAAGCAGGTCGTTAGACACTAAGTATTCTTGAATGAAGCTCTACTATTTACTACAGTACTACTATAATAAGCAGTTGTCATATCAGCGGTTGTTTTGGTTTTTATGTTTTGTCTATTTTCTGTGTTTCCCTGTGAACAGCTGGTCGAAGGCTGAGAGCACCAGAGCCGGGCACAGAGGACGATTCAGTGAGTGACTTTTACATTTCGGTTCATTTCTTCATCAGTCACTAAACGTTTCTGTCTCGCCTTCAATCAACAGTAAAAACAGTGTGTTAAAACGCAAACAAAACATGCAGTTATAAACTTATATACACAAGAAATGTCTGATCCAAGACTACTATTTTCCTAAATGTTGATTCAATAAGTGTATGACTCATTGAAGTAACACGTAACCTTTCACATGTGGCACACCTTACTTTTCTTGAGCTACTTGATCTGAAGGCCCTGGTTCAGAACTATGCTAGTTGATAAGATGAATTTACTGATATGATATGAATAGAAGTTGACTTCCGTATTTGCTATTGAAATATATTAGCTGAACGAAAAAAAGGTCTGAAAAAGATCTGAAGAAATTCAGAACTCTGTGTATGACCTGTGTGTTCTGGAGTTAAACCATCTGAAAACAACAACACTAGCGTATGGAGGGCCAAAGACTAAAGTTACGTTCATATAATTTAGTATGCTAGTGAAGCATACCAACATTTAACATGTTAGCATTCTAATGTTTGCACCTTAGCATGCTATTTTAGCATTAATCACAAAGTACGGCTGAGGCTAACAGGATTAGTTTAGAGAATAACCAATGTCATTGGGAGTCATCCTCTGGGGAACATTACTATTTGTACCAAATTATATGAGAATAAATTAAATTACGTTGGAGGTGTTTTGCGCTGCTGTTGGACTGACAGACCAGCCAACACACTAATGTGACAATTATGAAATGCTATGCAGCCAAACAGCCAGGCTGCCTTTGGCACAGTGAGGTGTCATCACACTGTTTTCATCCAGTTTTTTTCACCTTTGGGGTTCAAGCTGCCGGCACAGCGACGTGAGTTTTAACATTAAAGCAGTTTTTAAGGTAGCTGAAGAAGAGGAGATGCTGTTCAGACTCGAGATAACTTAATGGGATAATTTATCGTCTTTCATTGGATAGTACTGCGATGAAATCATATATATCGAGATACTGTGATACTCAATTCCGTCGTCTAATTTGATAATTACATACCAACTTAAATTTGACATAAATCGGATGCAAAATAGTTTCAGGGAAAAATCAATTGAAGATTACGGTTTTGTTTAAACATCACACTTTACATTACTACTCAGTTCAATGGGATTAATCAACGGTGAATATATGGAAATATTTCTTTATTTTATGCTTTATAATTTCACTCGAAACTGTTCTTTTCATTCAGTATTTAATTCACACAGAATTATACAAAAATAGGCTTTTCCATGTGGTATTCATCTATTGTAAGAAACATGCTACATGCTACATGCTACGTCTTGATATATATCGATAGAGATGTGAAATGACTTAAAACGAGATAGTAGATTTTGGCCGTATCGCCCAGCCCTAGTTTAGAAAAACGTCTCACTGAAAACGTCTCCAATATCATGATTTCTGTTTGAAACTATACAACCGTTTTGGGACTAGACCATGTGACCGTTCTCTGTGCTGACTGACCTTATGTCCACGCAGACATGTGACGAGCCATCTCAGTTCACAGAGAGACCGCGGCCTCAAGGATCGTCCCCCGTCGAGGAGTATCCTGAAACCGAAAAATACACCGACAGTGACAAAGAGGTACGCAGCACCTACACACACCACGACAGACAAAACAAACCAGGTTTACAGGGAGAAACCAGGTCAAGACACTCAATCAAAATCCTAAAATCTTAGTACGGCCACTGTGATTATGTGCATGAGATAATTTTTCTGCTTTTGCCGTAGAGGTATGCGAGAAAAACAACATTTTCTTCAAGAATTCAAGGTAAAACGTGGTGAGAAACTGATAAAGAAATGGTGATTTTAAGGGTGACGTATTGCTTTAAGGAGTTATAAAATGATTACCATCCACTCATTTTATATTTTCCCTCTACGCTCTCAATATGAGAGCTTGTATTTAATACAAATGTATCTTGACTGAGATGTGTGGATATCCTTTGTTTTTTTTGGCTCTTAAACGCAAAATCATGTGAATTACATTTATCTTTCTGGCACAAAACAGTAACGTGAACAACTTATCAATGACTCCATTACACTTATTAGGCTCTGTATTTGTGTCCAGTTGACAAAGTATGGTGTTAGATGGGCTTTCTGTTGTGTTTACTGCTGCATATTATAATATTGATCAAGACTCAGCTGCTCCCATGTATAAAAGTATGTGTATTACCATTTCAAAGCCTGTCGCCTTTTTTGTTACTGTAATCTTTTTTTTCAGTATGATGTTTAGTTGGAATTCAATTTTCTTCTATTTTTATTTTAGTGTGAAGCGGAGCATGACCGACACCACAAAAGTGGGAGTGGAAAGAAAACTAAAAAGTCCGGGCTTGGGTCCATGTTTGAAAAGCGTTCAACTCCAAAGATGAGCAAACTGAAGGTGAGACGTTCCCACCTTCTCCTCTCTGTACTGTGTCTGGGAATGTGAGAGCAGCACAGCTAAAGGTAAAATGATTTGATTCTGTCTATTTTGATTTGTGTTGTTTTTTGTGCAGGAAGATCACAGCCCTGAATCTGGAGTGATAGTGAAAACAGCCCCAGATGGATGTTCAGAGGGTCTCGTTTATGGTGGAGGGGGCAGAGAGGGAATCTTCATTAAGGAAGTGGTACCAGAGTCACCTGCCTCAAAAAGTCTGAAACTGAAAGAAGGTAAACTAGCAGTTAGAAATGAGAAACAATTACAGCGACATTTTCTTTCTGATTACAATAAAAACAAAAACTAATTTGATTATGAAAAGTGGGATTAATGAGGCTATAATGGGGTCCATTGGACAATCTATGGTACTTTTAAATCTTGAGTTGTTGTATATTTTCCAATTTTAGAATTCCAAATCCCATTACAAATCTACTACAAAAATTTTTGCCCATACAAATGTCATTACCTTAACATGAAGAAACTTGGAAAGTGACAAATTAATTCCCATAATGTTTTATTGATGTAATTCTCCTTTATCAGACGGACCCTGACAGCCTTCTCATCTGTGTGCTTCTGAAATGTTTTGCTCTTGTTTACGCAGGTGATCAGATTCTGAGCGCCACCGTGTATTTTGACAACGTGTCGTACGAGGACGCCGTTCAGATTCTGGAGCACGCTCAGGCTTACAAGATGAAGCTCTGCTTGAAACGCAATCCAGGCGTCACAGAGACGGAATCAGCCATCGAATCTGACGTCATCCCTGTAACTATTTTCACAATATCAGACTCTTTGTGATACACAAAAAAAATGTTTTGGGGATAGAAATGACATTTCATTTTTCTGTTGCTCAACAGGAGGAAGACGTCTACGTTGCAGAAATGAGGGAGCAAGGAAAAACCAAAAGGCGTAGTGAAGCACGCATTTCATGGCCTAAGTTTCCCTCCTTTGGAAAAGGACGCAAGTCTCGCTTTACAAGATCTCACAGCTCCTCCGAAGCTGATGAGCAGAGAAAGCTTGAGCTCAGTCCCACTACAAGTGACACAGAGTCACCGATAAAATCTCAGGATACTCTCAAAGGCAAGAAGAAGCATAAAATAAAGCTTTCTGGTCTGACAAAGAGAGGCCGCATAAGTTCATCTGAAGACCAGGACACAGACGCTCCAACATCTGCGCAGATGCTTCCGACTGAGTGCCTTGAAAGTCCCTCAGGGGAAACACCTCAAGTATACGTGACTGAGGATCTGAAAGTAGTGGAGGACTTAAGACTGACTGAACCTCAAACTGTTCAACACAAGGTGGAACTCATCTCTATAGCTAGCACTTTGAAAACAGAAGATCTAACCGTGGCTCTGGCAGGTCAAGAAAGTCTCTCTGGTATCAAGTCCCCTGATGGGAAGAAGAAGAAGAAGAAGAAAGAACTGTCTCAATTAAAAATAAACATTTTGGGGAAGGATAAATCACACAAGAAAGATGCAAAAGAAAAATCGTCACCAAAAAGGCTGAAAACAATGGGGGCAAGTATTGAAATAGCAGACCAACCTGAAAATGAAAAATCTGATGTCATCCCAAGTTTTGAATCACGCACAAAACTACAAGGAGTTCAACTTGCACTTGATGACAATACCCAAATAATCGAAAGGAGCGTACCAAAGATGGAACTTGAAATATCTGACGTTGCATTCATACAAAAATCTCCACAGAAAGGTGAAGAGAAAACAAAGAAAGGCAAGGACATTAAACAGAAACAAGAAGCAAAGAGAGATCCAACATTCAAACTGCCTAAAATAGGCTTTAGTGACATCGCCAGTGAGGAAACAATCCCAAAAATGAATGTAAATTTTGAAGAACGCACAACTAAAATTGAGCAACTTACAACTGAGGGTACAGAAGTGAAAGAAGATCCTTTTGAGCAACTGTCAAAAAGCAGTCTTTCCAGAACAAAACTTCCCAAACGTGAAGACATTGAGATTCCAGGTATGGAGGACATGTCTAAGAGGACCACAGTCAAAATAATGAAAGAGCCTAAAACTGTTTCTACCAGACATTATGAGGACACTCAAGCTGAAACTGTACAAATGTCAATTGATGTTGACAGCGTGAAAGAGGCAGTTTCAAAATTGCCTGGATTTAAGCTGCCTAAGGTTGACACAAGTGGCATGCCTATTCCTGAAGAAATTACTGTGATAGACGCAAATGCACAAAGAATATCGGTGAAAACACCCACTAAAACAAAACACGAAGCACACTTCAGTAAGTTTGACATAACTGCCTCTCCAGAAATCTCCAAGACAACAATTAAACTACCAAAGATCACACCTGCTGATTTAGCCTCAGATGAACTTTTAATGGTGACCCAGGTAGATTTAAAAAAAACTGAAAAGGAATACAAAGCTGAGCCAAAACAAAGCGACAAAGAGGTTTATAAACGAGAACATATCATAATACCTGGAAAAGAAAGTGCACAAGAAGCGACCGTTCTTCAGACACAAGGAACACAAGACAACGAGGGCATCAAATCTGATTATATATCTGCAGCAACTTTCAAAACAAAGAGGGCAAAGATAACAATGCCTAGCTTTGGGATTGCAAAACCAGACATAAAAATCCCTGACATTGGAATTCACTTGCCAAAACAAAATATCTCTGAGCAAAATGTTGACAACATAAAAGGTGAAAGGACTATATTCCTCCAAGAAGTAGAAATATCAAAGACTGAAGCAAGAAACAAGATTGGAGGAGTCACATCGGATGTCAAAATACCTGAAATTGACGGCATTGAATACATTGATTCAGCATATGGTTCACCAGCCAAAAAGGACGTCGGATTTAGGCTTACAGGTTTTGGTGTTAATCTTAATGCTGACAGCCCAAAGGCCGACATCTCATGTACAGATGTCGGAGGTGAGGCAAAAGTTGTTGAAGCCAAAGAGCAGACATTCAAACTGGCCAAATTTGGAGAAGGAACTCTGAACATCAACGTAAATGTGCCTGATGCAAATGAGGACATAAACATTGATGGGGCCAAGATAAAAACACTTGACAGGGAGGAAAAGGGTGGCAAGTTCCATCTTCCGAACCTCGGCATCTCCATGCCAAAGGTGAAAGGACCTACAATTGACATAAGCCTATCAAAACAAGATGTAAATGTAACACTACCAGAGGCTAAAGCTGAAGTCAAACTCCCAGAAGCCCCTGACAGTGACATTACTCTTGGAACCATAGACGTTTCTAATCGAGAGCAAAAGATAGAACTTGAAAAACCTGAATTCAATGTCAAACATCTGAGGACTGAAGGGGAACTTGATGGGCAAGGAGGCAAGTTTAAAATGCCAGAATTTGGTGTAAAAATGCCAAAAGTAAAAGGGCCAGAATTTGATTTAAGCTTGTCTAAGAAAGATGTAGATGTCACTTTGCCTCAAGCTAAAGCAGAAGTCAAACTTCCTTATGTTGAACATACAGAACCTGGTATTAAAATTGAGAGCAAAGCTCCAGAGATTGCAATTTACAAACAGGATATTAAAAGATCAACATCAAAATTTAAGATGCCGACATTTAAACTACCAACAGTTGGAGTTGGTACTCCAAACGTGTCTGTGGAAGTACGTGATATGGACAAAGATGTCAAAATCGATGGAGCTAACAGGGCTGCAGTTAACATTGAAGCACCCAGTGTTGACATTGAGGGTCCTTCAGTAGATATGAAAGCAATAGGAACTGATCATGAGGGTAAAGAAAGCAAGTTGAAAATGCCACATCTCGGGTTCACTATGCCTAAAGTCAAAGGGCCTCAAGTTAATTTAAGTTCATCAAAGAAAGATGTAGATGTCACACTGCCAGAAACCAGTGCTGAACTGAAACTCCCAAAAGTCCCTAAAATGGATGCCAGTCTTGGAAAAGTAGAAGTTTTGATTCCAGAGACAAAAGTGGAAGTTCAAAAGCCTGATTTAGAAATGGAACCTTTGCAAAGTGAAGTTGAAATTGATGGGCAAGGAAGCAAGTTTAAAATGCCAAAGTTGGGAATGTCGATGCCAAAAATTGAAGGACCTGAAATTAACTTTGGCTTATCAAAGAAAGATGGAGACGTGACACTTCCAGAAGCCAAAGCTGAAGTAAAAGTCCCTGTAGTTGAACTGAAGGAACTCTCTGCTAAGATGGGAATTAAAGCTCCTGAAATAAAAGTTGAGGCAAAAGGCACAGAAGGATCACCATCGAAATTTAAGATGCCGACGTTTAAACTACCAAAATTTGGAGTTGGTACTCCAAACGTTTCTGTAGAAGTACCTGATATGGACAAAGATGTCAAAATTGAAGGAGCCGATATTAATATCCCCAACGAAGGTTCTGCAGTTGACATTGCAGCACCCAGCATTGACATTGAGGGCCCTTCAATGGATATGAAATCTACAGGAGCTGAACAAGACGGGAAAGGAAGCAAGTATAAAATGCCACATCTTGGTTTCTCCATGCCGAAAGTGAAGGGACCGAAAATGTATTCAAGTCTACCAAAGAAAGACATAGATGTCAAATTACCAGAAACAAAAGTTGATGTCAAAATTCCTGAGTCAATTCCAGAGGCTAAGATGGAGGTTAAAAAGCTGGAAATGGAAATGCAGTTTGTGCAGACTGAAGATGAACTTGGCGGACAAGAACAAAAGTTAAAAATGGCAAAGTTTGGAATCAAAATGCCAAAAGTAAAAGGGCCAGAATTTGACATGAGCTTATCAAAAAA